ATTCATGCACACCTTAAAAAAGTTGTGTCATGGTCAAATTTATTCAATTTTTTTTAGTGATCATGCACAGCTTTGAAATCTATCTTGAATTCTTTTGTCTTCTGCAGGAATGTACGGAGTCTGTGTGTCTACTTCAAAATCGTAGGGAATGCCAGTGTACAGATGAGGTTGAGCTTTGTGATTTGTGCTGCCTGGACGACAGTAAGTCCAACAAATTTCTCATTTCCAGTCTGATTTTAATGTTTTATATGTACCAGTATTCAAAACATAGGAGAATTTATTCTCCAATATTTTTGTTATTTACCTGTAAGATAAAATAATAAACCTAGAAATGTAACAGAATCATAGTTTAAACAAGAAAAGAAATGTATCATTAATGATAGTATAACGGAAGATTACAGAAACAAAATAAATGTAAATGCCATTATTCAAACAATTTACTCAAAGCAAGTTATAGGTGGAGCTCACACGATTGATAAAAAAGGGATTTTCATTCACACATTTTTTGTATTTCATTTCTATCTTATCAGGAACTAATCTTTGTCTGAGTTCATATAGACTAGGTCTACCTCCAGGCCAGTCGACGCCATTGAAGGCAGATACCGGCTCAACGTGTGGTGATTATATGGGATACTGTGACGGTTTCAGTGAATGCAGGCAGGTAGATGAAGACGGTCCTCTGGCTAGCATCATCAGAAAGATCTTCTACAGTGAAGAACCTCAACTCACCGACGCTATCATGGCATGGATAACGGTAAGAATGTTTGTTTATTACTCTGTATTAATTTCTGTTTCAAATTTGGAACACATGAAGTCTTCTCGTAGTTGTTCTTCATTAAAATGTGATAGTTACATAGCATATTTAAAAACAAAAATAACAACACATTCAATTTTTTTTCTCTATTTAAGGAATCAATTAAATGCACTTGAAAAAGATTGCATTTAATCTTCTTTCTCCATTATTTTCTATTTGTACTCTTACAGATATTTATAAGAATTCTGGGTGTTCATTATTATTATCAGTTGGCAATATAACTTCTATACTTTAACAGAGTTTTACAAATATTAGTTTGTTAATTTTTAAAAGATAAAAGATAACTTGGATGTCTAGGTTTGCACCTGTTGGTCGGTAGTGGGGACGAGAACGAAGATATAGTATGTATGATTGATAGAACGGCAGTCGTGTCAATGACTTTTGCAGAGAATATGTAGCTGCAGATAAGGTTGAACTGTGAAGAAAAGAATTAAAGCCTGTCTACAGTAGTTTGGCCAGGGGGAATTAGACCGACCTGCAAGGTCATTGACAGGTGGTTATCTCATCAAGTCAGCTCTCAATAAACATAAGAAAAAGAGGATCATGGGGGACCAACAGGCACAGATTAGGCATTGTTTGCTGTATAGAGGGCGCAAGTAGCTATAAGTAGTGCAGGGGGCTTTAAATGGCGATGATTTGAAAGGTAAGTTTAGCATCCAAAGTGTGGCGTCAATGAAAATTCCTAAACTGGCCCCATCTTTCTCTCGACAGGAGTTCTGGTACGTCCCCCTGATCATCGGCATCGCGATCATTGTCCTGATGATCCTCATCGTCGTCCTCTGTAACCGAGTCATCCCGACCGATAACCCGTGGGACCAGGAGGTCGAAAAGTTCAAGAAACGTTCCAGCGTCTACGTCAAGCTGCAACGCAAGCGTTACCGTGGCAGCATGGCTCCGGGGATGCACCCCACCCCCGTTGAATCGCATCCTGATTATACTATAGAGGACAGGGCTACCCCATTCTAGCTCTTTCATTTGTTTTCTGTAGAATATCTGCTAGTTAGCATACAAGGTGTGTGAACATAATAATATAGTGTCCTATGCTATCCTAGCTTTAAAAAGATAGTGTTTAGGTTTTTTTTTAACATGATGTGCTTGTGATGAGATTGGACATTTCATGCTCTTATCAACTGAACGAGATAGATTGTCGTGCTGAAATTGGAATTACTATTAGAATTAATATTGAGTGGTAATTGCTTTCCCTTTCTCCCAGTTAGTATGGACTAGATCTTGTCAGTACTTTAGTATTTATTGGTAGAATTTATGAAGTGTTTGGCTTCATTCTCGAGGTAACTGGTTAATTGAAATTTGCGTAGGACATCCAAGTCAGTACTTGAACATAAAGTACTCCATTTGGTGTGGATAAGCTGTATACCTAACACAGCCAGTGTTCTTGAAATCAGAAAGAGGTGACCTTATAGTCGGAGAAGCATGATTTGTCAAACGTAACTGTATCAATGATGTATTCTAGGTGAAATGTGGACATATTTACTGCCTTTAAACACTTGTATTTATTGACTTCATTTTGCAAAAGCCAAGGCTATTGTAGTTTGGAAATTGGCCAGTTCAATTCTCATAGATGTATAACAATTATATATGCTCAATATTAGTTTAGAAGAGCTTTCAATAAAAAATATTTATAAAAAACAAATAAAAAAAATCAGTATTTTTAGGATGTTTATAACAGAGGGAAAACATGTGTGAATCAATTGTGCTAAGGAGTATTGAAGAGTATTTAAAGTATTTAGAAAATTTGTCAAAATGGTTGAAATAGGTATGCTAACATTTTCAAGGGCAGAAGTAAATTGATGTTACTTTTTTGCTACGCCACTGTGAGGAGCACATTTTCGTAATGTTTTTGTAAGGATAAGGATATAATATTTTATATAACGATAGTGCCTTCATGAATGTCTCTCTGCATTAATAATAGGCTGAAGCAATGGGTAGAACCAGGAGGTATTTATTACACCAATATGCAATAGACGAGGAGACATTATTTCTTTAGATCAGCTGAAAGAGTATAGTTACATAGTTGTGCTATTTAATAGTTGCAAATATTTTCATGCAATTACCATGTACATTTTTGAACATTACTATTGTATCTGAATGTAGTGGTTCTCTAGTACTAACAAATATACTTCTATCATATAGGATTGTCTTTGTATAAGCCATACCTGGTATATGAAATGGAATGAAATGTTGACTGTTAGTGATGATTATTAACTTTTTTTCATAAAAAGTTCAAACCAGCTGCAAGAATTAGCTGCTATATTATTAGCCCTAAACTTCTCCTACATGTTTATAATGGCTGATTTTATTTTGCAACAAGAAACTTAAAAAAAAATGGAACATTTCAATGTTATCACTCATCAATGTCATGGCTTGAAGCTGTCGCAAATTTAGGCTACTTGCTTAATTGTGAAACTCTCTTGCAATCTATTTTTTTTTCTTGGGGGGGGGGGGGTATTATACAGTAATTCATCTCTATGTTCTCTTAGGTATATCAATCCACACTATACAAACAAGGCTGAACAAAAGTACTAGTGATATTTAGATTCTAGAATAGACTAGAGATGCTGAACATTAAAAAAAATCCTATATTATTAATTATTGTTCATTTATCATTTATAACTTTATATTTACATCACTTTTTTGTATTTTGCTTTAGAACATGTGCAGCAATATCCTTGCTTATGGCAACGGGGTTAACGTACCTGTATCTTCTATAACTCTCTGCCATTATGTTGTATTTCTAAAGCAGTACTGGGATGGATTTGAGAAATGTGAAATTTTTGAAAAACTTAATTAATAAATTAATTATTCTTTTTTATTGATGGGTTATACAATGTACATGTAAGTACTCAACCTGGGAAAGTGAAAGAAATATAACTTTGTATATTTGTAGGAAATTGTATATATTATAACTATAAAAATAGTTGAATGGAAACAACTGATGGAAGTATTAATATATACTTGACTGAAGTGTTAACAAAAATTGTCTTTCATGCTACAACAAAAATACAATTTAGATGGATTTGACACATGCATGTGCCTTCAACACAATTGGAATTTTTACTGTGAACTTTGTAAGAAGAAAAGTTTATGGACTATAAATATATACCTGTATAGATAATTATCATAAACTAGTGATCTTTCATGTGAACTGTAGTTCTTTCCTATTTCAAGATATCATGGTGTAACTATTTTTCTAACTTTCCAAGTTGATATATATATAAAATTCATGTCTTTCAGATAATAATCTTCTTTTATAACAATCTTGCATCAAGGAATGTCTTGCTTTGATCAAGCAATGTACTAAAAAATAATAAAATGATTAACTTTTTGGATTTACAGGAAAATGTTCTTTTGTTTCGTGATTTCAAAGTTTTCAGAAAGCAGATCTGTGAGATAAGGATTCAACAGATTAGATTTATAGGACACTTGGTAGTAGAGGGGTGTGGTGAATCTGGCCTTGACATGAAAGATAGAAGGAAAGAGGAGAAGAGGAAGAAAAGGAGTTCTAATATACAAATAATTCACATTTGCTAGAGCAATATGCACTACACGCAGGTTAATCACAGTGATATTGAACAAGATAATAAACCTGTTGAGTTCATTATCCCGTTTTGACTTAAAAAAGTGCAGAGCAATTCATTAATGCATAAGCTTCAGAAAAAGAATTGTTTTATAAAATGGGTGAGCAATATGAATATAAAGTCGAAAAATAAGAACAAACCCAATCGAAATGCCAAGTGGCGTATAGTCATGGAGACCGCCATTTGTTTTATGACACCACCTATTTTAAGGCGTAGCCATTAGAAATGGGGAGCATTTCACCTAATGTTGTACATGTCAGAGATATATATATATATATATGTTTCACCTGGATGCAAAGTTTCTTCTTTTTGTTTTGGAAGAAGACAATAAATGATATATTCTATATTCTATTATATATGCATACCTGCATCTTAGCCGTGGTTTATCGCTTTTCAATGACAACCTTTTTTTGGACGGTAGGCGTGGTATGAAAGAATGGTGCACCATCACGTGTTGTCATTTTACCAATAAGATCGCCTACATTCTATAACAGTATATATATCTAAGTTACCATTACTTGTAGCAACTCAGTTACTGTCATTCACTCACTCAATAATACACTGAAAAAATGCAGCCAGAACAACTTTGATGAAAGTAAAATTCATGACATAAATGAATATGTGTATTTAAATGAAGAAATGTTTTACACAAGTATCAAATACATACACAGTCACCTATACAATCTAAATATCTACAATCTCATTTTTTAAATTTCATGATTTTTTTTCCCTGTAAGAACTACAATTTCATAACATCATGCATTCTGCGCATCAATAGTATAAAGAAGATATTTAATGCAATAGACACAAACTTAGAAATAATTCATCGAAAAGGCACATATTTTGATAAAAACTTGATTCAGTTCATACGGCTGACAAAAGAACCTCACTGATATTAACTGATATCTGTCACCACTAACCCAGAGAGAGTCGTTCAAAAAAATTCACATAGTAAACACAATTTTTGCTTTAAAAAATGTGATATCTATTTTATGTCAAAATTGCAGGCATCAAAATTATATTTTGTACACTGTCAGCCTTGTCTTATAACTTTGTTGCGAGTCATTTGAATCGGTCGCAACTGAACTGAGTTTGATACCAGTCACAACTTCTAACCTAAGAAACGGGAACGTTGTTACTTTGTGATTGATGTGAAGACATGAGATCAATTCGGATCGATTGCAATTTTGGTTTTAAAGCATCTGGGTTCTATAATAATAGTAATGACAGGTCAATTTATAAAACGCAGCTACTACCTTTATATGAATGTACTCTACTGCTCTTAATGTAAGGTATCATATATGCTGTAGCTGAGCTGCCATGATAAGGGGCTAAAGCATTCAAGGAATATCTTCCTACCCAGTACACATTCACCTCTCCCTGGGTGAAGAGTGGCAGATTTAGATGAATGTCTTTCTCAAAGGACATCAGTGGTGACAAAAGCTTAATGGCGACAGGTCAATGATTGAAGAAATAAGGATTTCAATATAAACATTCCATCATAGAATATTGAATCACAGGCTATCAACATTCTAATTTAAACAATTACAAATATTACACACAATATCCTATTGATATACACGTAGACATGCAAGTGCCAGCCTCAGTATTAACATGCTATAAAAAGAGAATATCTGAACAAAACAAAAAATTATATCATTTGGTCTAAAGCTTGAAAATATACCACTGATTAGAAATTGTGTATTATAACTTTCTATGTCTTTTTCTGAACTATTGTGTCTTTTTTTATGTGAAACTCGTTTAACATACCTTAAGACTTATTGTTACTATGTATGAAAACTTTGATTGTGCAAGTTGAAAAAGGAGGATACAACAGAATTATGAAAAAACATAGAAGATGTTAAACGAGCAGAAGTAGGCAATTATAAGCCCAACTCTTGAAGAAAGAAATAAAATAATTAATCTATTGCATTCATCAAAAAGAGTCCTTATCAGACTAGAATAAAATGAAAAATTCATATATACACACATGAAATAGAAAATACATCAAGCTCTAAGGCTATCTCAAAACATGATATACCCCCACATTGAACACAATTATCAGACATGCACAACACAACAGGTTTTTCAATGATTATTTCAATATATTTTTTTAAATTACAAATTATTTCCTATCAACCAAATATATTATCTATTCTTTTTCTTGTTGTTAGGATAGCTGAAATGTATCTGATATCCCCCCCTTCTTCTTGGTTTTCTTTCAAAATGAATTAAGAAATCATTCTCTAACTTTGCTTACAAGTATGTTTATCAATCAATTTTTTGAATTTTGATAAGTTAAATATTAATGCAGTGACAATGACTGTGACTAGTATAATTATATTGACTGCTATGAGAGGCATAGCTGTTTCTATAGGCTCAAGGGGACGTTACATCTTTATACCGACACGATTCTTTTGAACCACACATTATGGAATACAATTACAGGAAGAAAAGACAAGATGATATAGTCTTGGGCAATATTTATGCAAATACCAGCAAACACACACACCACAAATATAACAAGAGTTGATTCTATTATGAAAGAATATACGGTATACAGATCATTGAAACAAGAAGATATATTTCAAAAGAAAACTTATTGTTTCTCTATATGTTCAAAATACCATGCTCATGCTGTTAATGGGAACAATACGAATTAAGCTGTTTCATCTATTGCTAAGTTGGTTGCCAGACTACCACTAGACTATTGCTAGATCATGCCAAACATACATTGACTAGAACCAAATACAATTTTCTTTTTCATGTTGGTAGTCTACTTGGTAGGATACTATTTGAATGAAAAACAGAAGGAAAAAGTGCTGGGAAGGAGCTGTATTTTTACAGAAACTCTATTGCTCTCTCAATTCAACAATATATATATAAAAGTATGCTTTGATTTCATTTGGGACAGCAGTAAGAAAAAACTTGTGAATGCAACCACTTCTATGAAAAAGCATATATAAGAAAGAGCCACGTTTTGTCCATAATGATGGAAATATATGATTCGTGCTTCTATAGCTTAATAACAATGGTAATCATTGAAATGCGAAGGGAGAGAGAAAAAGAGAGAGAGAGAGAGAGAGAGAGAGAGAGAGAGAGAGAGAGAGGGGTGAGGGAGAGAGAGGAAGAGAAATTTGAAAGCTCCAGATATTCATATGTATACCAAATAACATTTTCTAGATATCTAGCAAATCATAAAATACCAATAAAAACTTGCAATGTATGTTTCTAAGTCTCTTCAATTCATTACAAACTACACAGTGGATAACATTTAATTTAAATTACATGATTAAGCTCTTACATAACTTAAGTACTTCAAACTCAATTGAGATGATGTAAAAATCATTGCAATGTACAAAATAAAATACATAGCAAAAAATACCTAAGACTCCTATTCATAGATATTCCAGTAATTCATGTCATAAACAAAATTAGTAAGTGCGTAAATAATGTCTCCACAGAAAAATGAGGAATAATTGTCACAAATCAAGCAGGCCTTCATTTTTCACACTAGATTGTAATCAAATATCAAAAACTTTTTTATAAAGGCCTATCACATTTAATAGATTTATAATCAATATATACCCAGTGTTTCAATTATTCACTTACATGACATGATTCCGCAGTTGTATGACAATTGAAACTTATACATAAGTTGATTACTTTGATAGACTTTGAGTATTAGTGAAGAAGCGATAATACTCTGGAAGTAGCATTTAATTAGAAATCAAACAAGGCTAGTTCTGTTTATATCTGAAAAATATCTACAGTTTAATAAAGTAATATGAAAAGTCAAATCTTTTGTACAAGAAAAGTGGAGGGTGGCAATCATACACTGTTTTTTATTTCATTTTATTTGGTTTTCTGAATTTTCGCGTTGAGAATGCTTCGATTGTGGGTCACTGCATTTATTCATCAAAACCTCAACGTTAATCCATGTTGTGCTAATGGGAAAGAAAAAATCACTGCAGCCATAGTCTCTTTTAAATTGAAATTCTCTTATATCACCTGGAAAGTGTCATTAATTCTTGGGTGATAAAATGAATGATACATGTAGTATCCATTATTATCTGATCAGAGAGATAAGTATACCCACTGCTGAGGAGTCTGATCAACGGAACAGCATTCTCCAGCACACTACACGAGCAATGTAGATGTAATTCTTGACACTGGCCCCTTGTTAAGAGACTATGGTGGGGGTAAAACTCTGATAAAGAATGCATGCTAAACTCATCAATAAAAAGCTTATTTACGGGATTTATCACACTGTGAGATAACTTTGAAACCAATGCTGAGTGAGCAAAGAGTCGGCTCCTGTCTCAGCTCAGGACAAAAACCTACAGGTCACTAAAGGTTGAATCAATTAACCCCCTGAACAAGGGTTAAAGGTCATAAAAGGTCACCAACTATCCTTGAACAGTGAGTTAATGCCCTTTCGGCTCCAAACAAGACATCTCCAATGGGTTTGAACCAGACCATGCTACTGCTCAGCACTCGTCAAGTTATATAAAAGATAATCAATTTAGCAATGTACCCGAAGGAATGAAATATCACAACACATATTCCATCGTAAGATGATTTTGAGTATTAAAAATAACATTCCTCAGCACTACATCCTGACTTATGGATCCTGCTGAGTATCGTCGTAGAAGTAGAAGTAACAACAACACTTGTCATGAAATTTATATCAAACGGGTTTGTTGCTACAAAAGGGTATGGAAAATACTGCACACCCTGTGGATCAATCATTGATTTATCATTTAATTCTAAATCTTCAGGAGTATAAAACATTCATTCCTGAGCCCATAAGAAAAAGTTGTCTCTGATGAGTTAACCTACACCTAGAAATGAATGACGTAAAATTCTTGACTATTAAGTGCTCTATATTGCTGATGCGTTATGCCATTGGAATGTCGGAGTGAGCGGGTCGAGCCCCTGCTTGTGAACGTCGTCGTCTCAGGGTGGCTGCCCCGGGTACACTACGAGCCTTAGGGAGGTTAGGGTTACTGCTTGGAGTGTGGACGCTGCAACATTTAATGAAGAGACCCATGAAGATGATGACTCCGAGGACAATCAGCACTGCAGCCCACCAGTTGGCCTGCAGAGAGAAAAAGAAGGAAAAAAAAGGAAGACGTGGACGTGATATTTTGTTCTCCTCATGTTCAGAACCAGAAGGAAGTTTAATAAAACGTTGCAATAAAGTATTTACGTAACACCCTAATGGCTCTTAACAGACGTATTGAGAAGTCGGGATTATGGGCTTTCAAAAAGTTTGGGACTGTCCATGCTTAACCATTATCACTGCCCAGAGAGAGAGTGAGAAAAAGGACGAAAATACTTGTTTGCAAATACAAGATAACAAGTATTCCACAATGTTGGTAAACATTTATAAGCCACAAAGCACATGTCCTTTATTTGGTTTTAGACTGTCTAGACGCACTAAGAAAACTACATCATTTCCACAAACTCTGTGATCTTGACTGACACTTTGCAGTACCCTAATGTAATTACCTGTAATATTCAAGGTATGAACATGTTATAATACTGCAAATTTGTCTAAACAAAACAAACTCCTTGACTGTTCGGAAACTCTGTGGGAGAATATATCGAAGGGTCAGTGACTCAAAGACATAACTCCATTAAGGCCATAAGTGGTTAATGTGTCACTGAGCACTTGGGCATTAAGGAGTTAAGTCTATGTTTCCCTAGCCATTGACTTCTATGGAGTGTTGGGTGGAGTTAAGTCTTTATGTTTCCTGGAAAGCCCATATTTACGTAACTCATATTTTTCTGAACATTTTGATATCAAATACTCATTTTGGCAAAATATGAAATTACGTCTTTGTGTCACTGAACCCTCGATATGAGTTAATGCCCTTTTGGTTCCAAACGGACATTCTTACCACTCAAACCATGAATATTTACCTGTATCCATGCGGCAATGTTGGAGTACAGTTCAGGGTTTAAGATTGCGTTGGTGAGTCTGGAGAGTGGGCCGTTGGAGTCCACGTTGCGACACTTATAGAAGACATCGCAGTAGCCTTGGTACTCGTTGCACGGAGCTCCCGGCATCTGATACAGGACCTTGACGTCGGTGGTGCCCTCTTGCGCATCCTTACCGTACATTCGGACATGGTCCTGCATCACACCAATGTCACGACTAGAGAGGCAGGTAGCAGCTGTAGGGATGAAGGGAGGGATCAACTTGAATCAGAAATTGTTACGACAGCATTGTAATCATTGAGACACATGGTTAGACCCTTCAATTACGTCCGAGTTGATTCAAAGATATTTTCAGGTCAAGGATAGTCTCTGAATTTTGTATTTTCTGATTAAATCCTTTCATCATCATCATTGGATGTTTGATGTCCTTAGTGGCCTTTCTCCAAGGCTCCTTGTCTTCAGCAACGTTCTGGGTGAGGTCGGATACTCTCATGACTCTCTTAAAAAGGGTCAATAACATTTAGTCCAAGTCCAAGATCACTATATATTATACAGATATTGACTGCCTAGAGGGGCAATATAACATTTGAGATCCTCGAGGGAGTTATATTTTTGACGAGGGACATTATATTTTTCAGAAGCGCGTAGCGCTGTGGAAAAATATAGTATTCCGACAAGCGAAAACAAATTTGTTGCAATTTCACCATTTTCACCACACTTTACACCATAAACGAGGGTCATTTTTTTTCGAATTTGTTTTCCCCTTGAAATTATTTTTTCTACATTTAATTTTTTTTTAACCGAAAAGTGCTTTTTTGGGGACAGAATTTTATTTTTTCGATTTTTTTTTTCCATAAGAATTTTGTTTCTTCATAGGATTTAATTTTTTCATTCTAAAATTTTGTTTGTCCTCGAGAAAAAAAAAAAAAAAAAGGAAAACAATTTTGGGTCCCTAAAAAAAGGAAGGACCCCCCCCCCCCCCCCCCCCCCCCTCCTCCAAAAAAAAAAAATCAAACCAAGGCTATGTTATATAACAGATATTGACTGGCAGGGGGTATATATTTTCCCCGAAGCGCACAGCGCTGAGGGAAAATATGGTCACAAGGGAAAATATAACTCCCTTCAGCGGTCCAAATAATGTTATATTACACCCCCTGCCAGTCGATATCTTTATAATATTCACAGGTAATATAATTCATCTGTTCAGAGCCAGGAGGGTATTAACTCTGTGATAAAGGATGAGAGTTGAACGCTCTTCTGACTCTCAACAGACCACATGTAGAAAATGTTGACAATGAGCTTGCTAGTATGAAAGGAACGTTGTTCTCAAGTCCAACTTACAACTATTTGGATTCTGGCAGCAGAGATGGCATGCTTCATCGAGTTCAGTGTTTTCAGCATTAGCACAGAAACATTCTTCCAGACCAAATTTAGTGCAGATTGATTTCTGGCATTCCTGGCAGGATTAAAACAAGAAAAATATGATCAACAAATATCATAGGAATTATGGACGATTTTCGTTACTTGCATAGATTTGAATTCTTCAGTTTGCCCTTTTGTATCCTACATTTGTAAAATTAGTACCTCAATAAGTTGTACATATGAGTAAACTAATTTTTTAAATAAGAAATATTGGCATTCTGCCTGTACCTAAAGTACATCTCTAAGAACATTACGTTATTCACACTATAAAGGAATATGTATGTTTCTGTTTTTAATTAAATTTATTTGTTTATTTCTACATACTTTAGAATGTGGACAATATGTTGCTTGTTATTATCTATGAATGTAAGTTATGCACAATTCAACCTGTTTCAGTGCATGATTGTCTTTAGTAACTTTTTACTTGATACTTGAGGGTCTCTAATGGAGCAAATCGCAGTGAGCAATTAAGAACTTTTACTTGGATTTTTACTTTTTAATAACATGACTTATTAAAGCATAAAGCGCATTCAAGATCTGTGTAACATAACACAAAGATCACAGAGTACACATAGAGGCATTTAATGTAGCCACACTATTTTCACATGCCTCTGATTTTGCTGTGATGTTTCATTGTGAGGTGGTATACCTCATAAAGGAAGGCTAAACGATGGCAAAAGGGAGCAAACTGAAAATGGGAAACTTATCCCAGCTTCTTTGGCATAAAATTTGTCTTCTCTCATGAACACAAAGCATTTGTTGAAGTAATCCTCACAATGAATTCACATGCCATGTTTGAGTAAAAATCAAATTCATCAAACAGATTGTTAGGTTAAGGCCTTCATTTCAGCTCTGATTTTGCTGTGATATTTCATTTCGAGGTGGTATACCTCATGAAGGAAGGTTAAACGCTGGCAAAAGGGAGCAAACTGAAACATGAGAAACTTACCCCAGCTTCACAGACTTGTGTGTGCTCATTACACTCTGTACCATCAGCCTTAGGTTGAGAAGCAGGACAGCCTGCCATGTAACCAGTGAGGTAGGCAGTCAAGGAAAATATTCACATCACTGAATTAGTTAATTTAGATTTCTTGTTCTTCAGAAATCCCCTCAGTTTATTTGAAATTAGTTCTATCTTGCTTATGTATTTTTGGTATGAAATTAGTCTTCACTCATTAACACAAAACATTTGTTACATCTATACCCATTTACGCATAGTGCTGAGCAAGAATAGGCCCACATGCAGTATAAGCGCCCTAACCTGTACATGCACTACTACGCATCATGTACACGCATTAAAAAAAGCGTGCAATAGTACTAGAAACTATTGCAAGCTTTTTCATGAAAAAAAACGTGCAATAGTCTCAGTAAATGATTCACACGTGACCGCGCATGACCAATCATTTGATTAGGATCTAGGAGTGAGTTGTATAATATTCAAATGATACACAGCAGTGATGGCATTAGTAAGAATTACCCACACGAGGTACCTTCGGAACAGTCTAACACGCCTGAGGCAATAGCTGAGGGCATTTGGACTGTTTTAAAGGTACCTAGTGTGGGTAATTTTACTAATGCCTGAACAAAATGATGTCTATTATTTGCTTTATAAGATTATCTGGGTATGCTTTATTTGTTTTATAAACTGATGTTTTATAACACGATTTTGATAATGACCAGTCATTACCATTGGATAATGACCCGTCATTATCCAAATTACACGTTAGGCAAAATAAATGCCTTGTCACATGTACGCTTTCAACCATTCATTTAATTAGGATACACATCATCATCTTATAATATGAAATAACTTATAATTGATCATAACTTGAAGTCGATTTTACACCTTAAAGCCCGTCTGCACTAGTTTGGCCAGGAGGGATTAGACCTCCCTGCATGGTCACTGACAGGTGGTTATCTCATCAAATCAGCGCTAACATAAGAAAAAGGGGACCATGGGGGACCATGTTTGAATAAAAATCAAATTCATCAAACGGGTCGTTAGATTGAAGGCGTTCATATCTTGATTCTCATACCCCCTCCACTTTCAGAGAATTAGAAAAGACAAAACTGAATCTTGCATGGTTTATAGAAGTCATCGGATAAGACAGAATAAAGTAATACTCAAACTGCCAAATTAAAACCATAATACTGTGAAAACTCTGAACTGTAGTCATTTTACATACACACTTGGGATTGAGATTTTGGCTGCTGTTCCTCAAAATCCCTGATGTGCTGGTATAAAATAACTTACAATTGATCATAATCTGTAGTCGATCGTACATCTTAAAGAGACGGTTGAATTCTGGGAAAAGGTGAACAATAATTTGTGAGCATTATCATTGTATTATGCAAGTGTGGAAGAACATATGTGTGGATAAAAATTATTCCCTGAAAAGCATGGCTTTTCAAATGCCTTAATATTCTAAATATGGCATTGTCATGTAACATCATAAAAATCAGGAAGGATTTTTATGCCACATGTCCGTGTAGTCCCATATACATCTTTCTGTGTTCAGTGCTTGTATCTTTACCAAGACTGGGCCAAATTTCTTATCATTTTGACGATTCCAGAACCTTGCAGTACACACCAATACTTAAATGCTAGATGATCAACCTTTTTTGATTGATTCCACACCGTTTTGTTCACAATGCAATCGCATGACCAGAACTCTACTTTATCTTTAAATATGAAGAGAGCATGAGTCACGTCTATGGGTTTCCAGGTAATACAAGAGATATATATTGGTAAAGGATATGTACAGTATGACGAAATACTGCATTCTGACTGAGCCCTGCACAATGTAACATTAGCAAATTGACAACCTAATGTACAGCATGGCCCTTGGGAAGGACTGCAAGATAAGAATGACCACACAAAAGAAAAAGAAAACACAAAACAAGGAGATTAGCAGCTGAATCTTCAAGGGATATATACTGGTAATAATAATAATAATAATAATAAGTGGTATTGATAAAGCGCTTTTCAACAATGTTTTAAAGGAGCTACACAAAGAAAAATTCAATACAACTGATAATTAGAACAAATTACATATGGATGGAAAGGTTTTCTCTTGAAAAACACGAATAATTTGCTGAGAAATCATAAAGATATCATGGAAAGGCGTAAAATGCAATTTTTCAAGACCCTTCTTACACCCCCGAACGCCCCTGAACGTAAGCCAAACACACGAGCGTAGCGAGCTCTGAATAGTGACGTCACACACTGGACACACAGCTCAGTACCCGCCGTCTACCAGAGTCGCGCGTGTATTAGTCTGCAGCTAGCCAGCCGTGTCCCGTGTGTGACGTCACAAATATTGATGCTCTACAAAGGACCGCTGAAGGCAGAAAATCTGGATCTCGAAACTAACATTTTTGAGAGAGAGTTGATTACTGCGGGCCCCAAACATATTTTGAAGAGGAGAGTTGTTGCATTTGATCAGTAAGGCTTCCCCTTCGCAATGATATGAGTTTTGCATCAATTAAAAACACTTTTCATTCTTTGTGTGTCTACTTTAAAGTGGCGTACAATAAAGAAAATGATAATGGAAACTTTTACAGACCATTATAATGCAACAGCAATTACTCACATAACTATACAGCTTAACACTGACAATGATCAAATTGCGTGTATAGAGAACTTAGCATTGAGTTTATACAGAGAGTTTTTAACATGGATTTGAAAGATGCAAGACATCTTCCCTGAAATGAGTTGGTAGCTGACTCACATGTGCAGTGGTGAATTTGACCCTTGCAATACTTTCCAAGCTTTGGCCAACTGGATACACAATTATCAAACAGCGCCCCCATTGGCAAGCCGCGATTGGCTAATCTTTCAGCTCCCGGGTCGACATCTTTCAACCAATGCCCTGCAGCATAACGCTAGCCACCGATTGAAATGACCAAAGTGGTCGTAACTATGTAAATTCATTCAATGAGATTGATTGTTTTGATATCGGCGCAAATTTTTACCTCGGATAAGCTATTCGAACCTTCCCCACCAAAACTTCTGATTTATCACTAAATGCCCTTATTATCTCTCAGGGTATATAATAATGCCACAGCTGCTATTTTTTGTTCACTTTTTCCCATAATGAATCACATGAAATTAACTAAACACTGGTGTCGCTAGATGGCGCTGTAAATGAATCCACCGTACTGATTAATAAATCAGTTGATTGCCACAGTCTACTTTCATCACAGGCACGGTTTATATGTACAATACAATATACTTTAAACAATGTTGCAGGTAAAGGTTTTGAACAAAAGAGAGTATAGAGTTAAATCCTACATGCATTAAAATGTTTACAGGTTTATTCAAATATCTGCAGCTGTGAATGGGGGTGAAGTCCATTCTTATTTGTATTATTATTATTATTATCATTATTTTTTTGGGGGGGGGGGTATTGTTAAAGGTGATACCACAGAAGGGTTTCTAGAACTTGTCTTCACAGGTCATTCAGAATCAATTACACATTCAACTCAAAAACATAATCATTTTAGATACACAGATAAGTACATAATCTATGGCTCTTTAGTTGCTGTTGTTTTAATCAGCGTTTCCAATTATCTTCCATATCAAAGGGATCATTAATAATATGAAAATGGAATCTAAGCCCTGAGATTATTTTGAAGCTTTCAACATATTTCCAACTGACTAAATATTGACTTCAGATATTTATTCAATTCAAGTTAGTTTATTCAAGCTGGAGCATAAACTGATAAAATGACAGATGAATGATCTATTACATTTGTGCCTCATATTACATGTTTCCTGTTCAATAATTGCTAATTACATCTTATATTATCATCTGAAGAATTATCTGTATTCATTACTATGTAAACAAAACGAATTATCATTTTATGATTTGTGGATAATAAAGCAGAATTTTAATGATGTAAAATACAGAGAGGGAGAGAGAGAGGGAGAGAGAGAGAGGGGAGAGAGAGAGAGAGAGAGGGGAGAGAGAGGAAGGAAGAGAAGAAGAGAGGAGAGGGGGGGGGGGGGGAGGAGGAGGAGGAGGAGGAGGAGGAGGAGGAGGAGGAGGAGGAGGAGGAGGAGGGAGAGAGAGAATGCCATTACTTACCTGCACTGCATTGCGTCTGGTGTTAGCATGCATGTAGCTGCTGTACAGCATTGGTCATCGCACTGGTCTTCATATCCACAATCACACTCCTCCTCTCCATCTACAATCAGATTGCCACAGATGGGAAGGTCGCTCCCTACACACACACAAGGATTGAAACAGTCATTTATTATTACATCTACAACTCTATACAGAAATGATGAATGGACGGAAGCCAGCAGTGGTAAAAAGATGGGAGACATAACAAGAAAATATGAAAAAATACAGATTGAAGCAGAGAGAAATGGGAAAAATGTCATTTATTACATCAACAATTCTTCAAAGAAATGATGAATGGAAGAAAGCCAGCAGTTGTAAAAAGATGGGAGAAATAATTAGAGAAGATAGAGAAAAAATACAGATTGATGCAGAGAGAAATTAGCTCATATCACCCAAAAGCCCTGAAACTGTTTGACAATAAGAAGGATGCAGGGCAGCACAAGTTAATTGCAAAATTATGCAATATAACATGGCCTTGTAGATAATACAATTATAACTGAGTGCAAGAAATATTCTTATCGTTGCCCTGTGAGAGGGGGAATGTAAAAGAATTGACATATATGGCCAATGTTACAATGATTTTCATTATGTTTATACAATTTGAAGAAAAGACCCAAGTCATCATGGTTTACCTTTTCAATAAACCGATGCCTGAAACCCGTAGGGCATCCTAATGCCTTGTCATGAGACAACAGTGTGGATTTTGAATAGACTTCGTACATACATAAACTAGGCTTGAGCAGGTCAGAAAGACTATAGAATTTCATTTTTTTTTCATTTTTTTTTCTGCATTGATCATTGGACTTTTTTTTCTCAAAAAAGTGAATTTCTCTGATTGTTTGTATTCTTTCGGGAACGTAAGTTCATGTTAGCGATCACGATCGTAAATTTCACCTCTTATAAAAGGGGAAATTCTTGGCATCTCTCTCACAGACAAAAGCCATGTTTTAGGTACTGTATGTCACCGTCAGAGCCGAGTTGACAAACTGAAGCGACTCTTTATAGAATTGTTTATTAAACATATTCAGATTTTGGATCAGAAGTATGCATAAAGTATGAATATGTTATTAAACCTGTCTCCAAAGAAAAATGAGAGTAAATGGAAACGGATAACAATCAATGTAATTGGCAAGGGGGGGGGGGGGGCTTGATGGAGATATTGATTCTTTAAAAAAATGTTCCTAAAGGTGAAGAAGAAGAAGAACTTACGATCAAAACACCCTCCGTTCTCCCTGATGACTGCGGTCATGTTGGCGATACTGCAGTCTGAAAACTCATCATTGAAACGCTTATCTCCTGACGTAGCGCTGGCATACATGATGTAGTTACCATCGCTTCGTGTGTTAGGATTATCACCTGGCCGGCATCGTTCAGGGTAGTCATGCTGTCGGTACAATCACATTCATTCAATACATAAGCTTTCAGTTTTAATATCACCACTCCTTGGGGGGGGGGGGGGTATACAAAGATCATAAGTTTGAACTTGTCTCTAAGTTGGACTTATCTGTTAACTATGATCTTTAATCTATGAACATATTTTGTAAAAGTCATTTGAAAAGGCATAAAATGTTGATTCAAATCATTCATATTTTCTATTATCAAGGAGATTTCAAGTTCTTGATGTGGAATTTATAAAAACTCTAAAATACTTGACTTTCGCTTTTTTAAATATTTTATTTTAAGGCTACAAATGGCTCTCCATAATTGTTAAGTCCAACTAAGAGTTAAGTTTGACTTGGGATCTTTGCGAAACACCCACCCCCCCCCCCCCCCAGGCTTTCCTATTTTATCTTCTGAAGCATATTCTATCTCACCGTGTTTCTCACAAATTTACATTTACATTTTCAATTGAAAAGTTGATCATAATCTGATTGTCCCTTTTTGAACGTAAAGGTTCTAGTATTTCTAACAAATAAAATTATACTTTAAATTTGATTTGATTAAATCTACAACCATACATTTTTTATTATGTTTTTTTTACAATGTTATGTATTCGGCCTATCACATCCTGAATCATGTGGATATGTAATTATATTATTTAAATCTTGAACATTCAGTGTAATTTTAGTTGGATTCTGTGAGAATTTATTTTCTATAGTTACCAGACCTCAAGTTTACCTTTAACCCGTGTTTAAAATTACGGTATACGAGTCAACACCCCATACCTGCCAACCTGAGACAAGAGAAATTAGGAGTAAATTTTTCTGGATGGACTACGAGGTCGCGAACCACCGAAGGATTGGGGTAGTAGCCCGTAGATTGGGGGGGGGGGGCAGAGATGCCAACCCTATAGGATGGCTGTCAGTAACATTTACCATATTTGTCCGTAACAAATGGGGGTCTTTCCGTAACGCAAGACACCGCAGCATAATTTTCGCGCAAAACGTACACAAACACCCCGCATCACTCTTACTGCATTTCGAACCTACCATATTCAAGTCCAAAATAAAGATGTGCATAAAAACGTTTTTAAAAATCTGTTTCCAGTCAAAGGATCTCCTTCTCGGGTACTCGCTCTTTTGAGTGAATCCTTGATAATATTCAGGAAGAAAACACCTCGTTCAAGCGTCGAATGGCAAATTCGAATCCACAGTCAAATGGCAGAACTCGTATTCTACACACGCACACGTACACTCACCAGTACCACAGACACACCATACAGCCCAGGCCGCTAGGCCCGGCGTTCATGAACAACAACACACCGTATACCGCACTGCACTTGCAATGCGCCCGCTGAATCACCGAAGTCTTCGCTACTATATTGCGGGCGCCATGCGCACGATCTTCTACCCCCATGCTCCCCTCAAAAGGCACGAACGCACGTAGCATACGTAGCGGCCGTGTTGTTTTGGAATTAAACAAGATGGCGGCGGACGGACCATGTGCGCGAAAGTGTCTATCCAGTGTAGTCAAATTCAGTGAACCTATGAGTGAATGCGTGCGACATGCAGCGCTGTGTGCGGAGGCTATGTGATAAGGCGGCATTCGCTATATAAAGTACTTTTGTTTATCGTTTCCCCGTAAGGCGTGATGCAACAGTCGTTTGTTTTAAAAATATTTTAAAATGACAAAAAATCGGAGTTTTGAGGCATGCAATCGGAATTCGGAGTGGGTATGAAAAAAGCGGAGTAACTCCGCCTAAATCGGAGTGGTTGGCAGGTATGACACCCTTATAGCTCCATACAGATCATTTTGTTTTTGTTCCTGTCCAACGGTACTTACAGGAGAGCCAAAGTTGTGACCAAGCTCATGAGCGAATGTGATGTGTGAGACTTTGCTTGCTACAGTGGAACCATAGTTCTGGATGGTGACAACCCCGGTATTCAAACTCTGATAGACGCCTTGGAAATTAGAACTCTTCTCACAGATACCGCCAGATGTACCTTGATGGGGGAAAACAAAGATAGACAGACAGAAAAGAGAGAGAGAGAGACAGACAGAGAGAGGGAGGGAGGGACAGAGAGAGAGAGAGATAGAGAGACAGAGAGAGAGAGAGACAGAGAGAGACAGAGAGACAGAGACAGAGAGAGATAGAGAGACAGAGAGAGAGACAGAGAGAGAGAGAGACAGGGAGAGAGAGAGAGAGAGAGAGCAGGAGAGAGAGAGGAGGAGGAGGAGAGAGAGAGAAAAGGAGGAGAGAGAGGGGGAGTGGGGAAGAATTGAAAGTTAGAAAAAAGAAAAGAGGTTTGGAGAAAGAAAGTAATGAATAAAAAAAAAATTTAAGATGGCAAAATATAATCTTCTGGATATCATGTAGCCAAGATGCCATAATAATACTTGACATAATCCATATTTGGTCAATCTAACAATAGAAGACAGAGAGATATAACATGCACATCAAGTAAACACTTCGCATCATGTGCTACCAGCTTCAGAAAAACTTGATCTAGAGTTTCATGTTTTTGGTCCTCAGGACTATCTTAGCTACATATGCCTTACCAAAACAAGTACAAAATGTTTGGTAATGCACATACTGTCAATTAGCATTTAGTTGTAATATAGACACAGTTACTATAATACAAACAATATTTTTGTTTTTCCACGGAAGTGTTTCACAGAGACTAAGATCAACTTTAAATTGGACTTAAATATGGCAGGCCGTTCATGCCACTGTTTGCTCTCACCATTGACTGGTATTGGTCTCTCAAAGGGACGTACAAATCATGGTCACAAATCTACAGAATTTACATTATTTGATAATTCATTATTGAAGGAAAAAATATTATCTAAAGATCGTAAAGTTGAGAGCAAACAGTGGCGTGAACGGCCTGCCATGTTTAAGTCCAACTTAAAGTCGATCTTAGTCTTTGTGAAACACTCCCCTGAGAAAGACAAGACAAATGCCGACTTACTTCCAGTAGAGCCAACCCAGGCCAAACCCAGAACACCTTCGTTGAAGTCTCGGTCTGCAAACAGGTAGGCTAGGCAGTATTCGTCGTGGTTCTGCAGTGAGTTGAGTTCCAGAAATTTCTCGACACCAATGTTAGGGAAGCGGAAGGGATTGGAAGCATCAGCTTGTTGGGTTGTACCATTAACCTAGAAAACAAAGATCAAGCACACATCTTTAATTTTTAAATAAATACATCTCCATATTCTTGGCATTTAGTTTATAAACTTTGGAGGAAAAAAATGAAAAGTTCCGGTGTAAATCACATCAATTTTTTATTTGTTTCTAAAAATAGCTTAGGGCTCTGAAAAGTCCCAACTCCATCTATTGAGTTGTGATAAGTAGGATGTGTAATATTATCTGTCAGACATTATTTCAAGTTCAACAATCATTGAATTTGAGAGAAAGTGAGAGGGAGGGAGGGAGTGATAGATAGGGAGGAAGGGATGGTGAGAGGGAGAGAGAGAGAGAGAGAGAGGGAGGAATGGAAGGAGGGAGGGAGAGAAGGAGGGATGGATGGTGAGGAGGGAGAGAGAGAGATGGTGAGAGGGAGAGAGAGTGAGAGGGAGGAATGGAAGGAGGGAGGGAGAGAAGGAGGGATGGATGGTGAGGAGGGAGAGAGGGATGGTGAGAGGGAGAGAGAGTGAGAGGGAGGAATGAAAGGAGGAAGGGAGAGAAGGAGGGATGGATGATGGGGAGGGATGGATGGTGAGGAGGGAGAGAGGGAAAGTGAGAGGGAGAGAGAGTGAGAGGGAGGAATGGAAGAAGGGAGAAAGAGAGGGAGGGAGGGAGGGAGGGAGGGAGGGAGAGAAGGAGGGATGGATGGTGAGGAGGGAGAGAGGGATGGTGAGAGGGAGAGAGAGTGAGAGGGAGGAATGGAAGGAGGAAGGGAGAGAAGGAGGGATGGATGGTGAGGAGGGAGAGAGGGATGGTGAGAGGGAGAGAGAGTGAGAGGGAGGAATAGAAGGAGGAAGAAAGAGAGGGAGGGAGGGAGGGAGAGAAGGAGGGATGGATGGTGAGGAGGGAGAGAGGGATGGTGAGAGGGAGAGAGAGTGAGAGGGAGGAATGGAAGGAGGGAGGGAGAGAAGGAGGGATGGATGGTGAGGGAGAGAGGGATGGTGAGAGGGAATTCTATTACATACCCTGATTCTCTTGATAAAGAAATTGATGTCTCTGATAGTTTCGTAGTTTGGATGGGCAAATTCTGTGTCTATATAGATGGCGTTGATAGCTGAAACATGGTTGTTGAGGTTGAGAATGACCTCTGACACATCATTGGAGTAATGTGCCGTGTAGGTGTGGTCAGCCTGAAGATACAGACTGCAAGCTTTATTCTCACTGTTGTATACGGCACGTCTGGTCCGCTCGGGTGCTGTGTATTTGTTCTCTGAGGCTCCATGAGCGACGTTTTGCCAGTTGACGTTGGCTTCCTGGCGGGGTGCAACAAAAGTTGAAGTGACATGAGACTGAAATATGACACAGGAGATCCTCTCACACACGTATGGAATATTGTAGAATACAGTATTCAATTATTTTTTTAATAAATAATGTTGTATTCTTGGATCTCTTTATTTAATTTCTATGACATGTAGGTTTCTATGTCATTCAGGAGTACTACCGTATTTGCCGGCGTAAAGGCCGCAGTATTTTTGGAAGAGAAAATATCAAAAAGTCGGGGTGCGGCCTTTACGCCGAAACAGTAAAAATCGCAAGTCAAAACAGCACGTCCGTTATTTGTAGGCAACTTCATACAAAAAAATATATTAACAAAATTGACTTGAAAACACATCGGACAAGATCTAGTCTGAACCACGTCAGCAGCAAATTTGAAGAAGTTATCTTTTTAATCGTTGTGCAACCAAAGAAATTAGAACGCATGGCCCGGTAACCAAAATCATACCTCGCTCACACACTCTGTGGTGGGGAGCTACGGGGCTGGGAGTTGCCAACAAATCCAACGCACCTTCGGAGATTCACAGCGCGCAATCGTCGGTGTTCTTAACTTTTCAGTAAGATAATTCTGATTTATAATTGAGACTATCTAATTAATTAAAGCGACAAACTAACCTCGGTAGATCTCTAATAACAATACAAAAGCTTGTTTATTTTCTCCATTAGGCGGTACGATAGGGGTAAGACCGGATAACATTATATGGCCACAGCTTGGTTATGGCAGGATTATATTAGTGCAAACTCACTGCATGCAAGCTAAAGATGGCCATTCAGGTTTCTGTATGCATGCGAAGCGCCCTCTAGTGTCCAATGAATGTGCTAATCTGCCTAAAAATTGATGAAGATTTGCTAAATTACGATCATTTTTTAGGTAAACTTCCTGTAAATTTATAAAATGATTGATAATTTTGGTATTAGTTTGTAGGAAAAATAGAGTTCTACAAGAAAATTACGATTATTTTCTTTGGTCCGTTTTTTTTTTTCCTTTTTTTTTTTCTCTACGAAATGTCAAAGTTGGGGGTGCGGCCTATGCGGAGGTGCGGCCTTATCGCCGGTAAATACGGTATTCATTGCCAAGTTGCTTCTTTTCAAAGCCATCACCAAGTTCTGACAGGAATAAGGAGATATGAATGAAAGATATGTACGTCTGAATTACTGCAATAGTCACTAGTAATGGCAATGTTTCTTGTTTACCCAGGGTAGCCTCATAGGGGATAATACTACTCCCCCCCCCCCCAACTCCTGAAAAGTCTTGAACTTGTATAGTTACCTGGCTTTAACTAAGCTATCAAAATGAATAAGGTGCTAAAGCATTCAAAGAATTTCTTCCTGATGGATACATAATTACTTCACCTGGGTATAGAGAGGCAAATGTAGATTAATGTCAAAACATTAACTGCCATGGGGGGACTTGAACTGTAAGCCATGTGATCCACAATCTGGTGACATAACCACTATGCCATCACGCTTCTACAGTAATATACAGGGTAGTAACTACTTAAGACAGAATAATGCGAATCATGTTTGTACCCTTTTCTCTCTCTTATTGTCGTTGTCGACTCTGGAGTTCTGGATCTTATTCATCCATTTAGACACCCGATCATTAAGGCCACACCCTCCATTATCAGGGTGTGTCACGTCAGAGGCTTTGTAGATGACCGAATGAGATTCTGCGTCCGGGAGACTGGCTTCATCCAGGTGGTACTTGGCTTGTTCTATATGATACTCATCATCCTCGTCATAGATGACACCCTGGAACATGCCATTGGTGATACCTCCATGGACCTTACTCTTGGGCTTATCTGAAAAAGATCATACACAAAACTTAAGGTTAAAGCCTATCTGCACTAGTTTGGCCATGGTCACTGGCAGATGGTTATCTCATCAAATCAGCTCTAAATTTACATAAGAAAAAGTGGACCATGGGGAATCAACGGGTACCGCTTAGGCATTGTTTGCTATATAGAGGGCGCAAGTAGCTACAAGTAGTGCACTCCTGCTTTAAATGAAGGGCGGAGTGCAGTTCTAAAATCATTTCACTATTTTTATAGTCCTTTTCTATTTCATATTATAGTTTTGCTCTCTCATTATCACATTGTTTGTAATACATATATGTATGGGTCCTCCTCTTCCCTGAGGATGAAAAAGTAAAATCAACTGTGTTTATACACGAAGGTAAATCATATACGCTGAAAAGGTCAAAGGGATGAAAGAACAATTATGATTTAGTAAATCATAAACACAGCTACATTGTATTTTTGCAACAATTGTATCAATTGATGATGAAAAATTCAATTAAATCAACTACCCTCAGTCCCTCATGTACATACATTTAACATTTTTCCTGTATCGATCTCCAACAAAGAAAAAACTATTCTTAATCTTTTATTTTTAATGAGAAGTCTAAATCAGTGTGAAATGTACACATTCTTTGATAAAACAAGGAAATAAATCCTGAACTATATATATATAATAATATTTCCTATCAATTTCTAAGAAAATAATCAATTAATATGAGTCATACTTGGAGACAAAGCCTATCAGAGAGTATATTAATGACCTCATTCCCTGCAGGGTCTTTCAAAGAAGGATTCAATCTAAATCCACATCATCCAAAGAATAGTATGATAGAGTGACATTTAGTGGCTCGGCACGGCACTTAACTTAATAACACATGCATTTTAGGCAAGGGATATCATCCGAGATGCGCCACATTTGTGGAAGAAATCCAAACAAATTGGAAGGGACCTTTTTTCCTCCCCAATCTAAAAAGCCACTGACAGTTACTAAAGAGTAGGCCATCATTGCATGCAATACATGTAGTTCACTTTGTAGCAAACTCTATGAGAGCATGTCACTAAAAACTATTTATGGTTGACCAACAACAAAAAAGTATTTAAAAAAGTTTCTCTTTAATAATATGCGACTTTCTTTAATCAAAGGAAGGGATAGGTTTCGAAACAAATATCGCATTAGTCATGTTTTCATGTGTGTTTTGATATGAAAACAATTTGCAGACAAATGATAATGATAGCATAATATGTAACTGATGATTCACATCTCAAAATCAATTCAGATAAAAGGATGAGAATACATGTAGCTAGTTAAAAATGCGGGGGAGAGAAAGAGAGGGGGGTAAGGAGGGAGAAGTGAACAACAGTAGAGACAGAGAAGAGAAAGGGGAGGGAGGGAGGAGAGGGAGGGGAGGGAGGGGAGGGAAGGGGGAAAGAGGTGTGCTTGAAAAGCATTGTTTGCTTGAATGTTTTAAATCATGATTTCAACTGTAATACCCAAATCACAAACAACTACATGTATGTATTGTTGTGGTGTAATGTGTCATTCAGGTTCCGTCATAAAAACCTCTATCCTCCACGGTGACTACACCCAGGAAATGCTTTGAAACCGACCTCACTATTGTAAACATGGCTAGGCCAAACAATGCAGTCAACAAAGAAAATGCCATAACAATGGCACAACCAGCCAGTATACAAGCATAGCTAAATTATTCAATAATTTGTAATTTTGTCCCAATTAAATGTTTCATGAGAATGTGACATATTGAAGCTAAGAAGCTCACATCTAAAAATTATTTGACAGAGGCTCTACAAGTTATATCAACCAGTCCACGTTTCACAAATTTATTTGTTTAAAAAATCCAATTAAAGTCACAAATCCTTCAGTTTAAAAGAATTTTTAGACACTAAAATGTTTGTGCACTGTATGAGATACACTGTAAATACATGTACAGTACATGTACATTGACATGGCCACAAGTCTCCAAGAAAAATGACAAACCATGCACATATTGCATACCTGCCAACATTTGAAAATGAGAATTAAGAATTTTTAGCACGGTATGTATGTCTTCAAAAATAAGAAATCTGTACCCTTAACAGGTGTTCGCACATGCAGCGGCAGTGTAACTGGCAATACGTGGTAAATCTGTGCAAAAAAGTGAATACAAATTCGCTGCTCAGTCATGCAGCCCTTCAACGCTGAACTCTCACATCGCGGCATATGATAAAAAAAGCTTAATTGGCTTAAGTAACAAAAAAAAAACAAAAAAAAAGAATTTTTGAAAATCCAAGATCTACCGCATTTTGGGGTCCTAAAAATCCAGAAAAACAGGATATTCCGGATTTTTCGGGAGGGTTGGCAGGTATGATATTGTGATGTAATAGCCCTGCCAAAAATGCAATGCATGATTATTTACTTTCCATTGTCTTCTTGTTAATTGACATAACCAGTAATTTGTGATGATTCATGGTTAAATACCATGAGAACTGCATGCATTCAGAACGTCAAATCATTTATACTTTACATGATGCATTTGTGGAAGGGAAAATGACAAAAATCATAGAAAAAAGAAATTAAAGGACCTATAGAACCTCTCAGAAGAAAGAGGAAGATATCAGGTTTCTGAATATTAATAAGCCCCATTCTCTTTGATCCTGCGCCATCCAAGCGTAGCGTGAGAACATGTTTTCTTCCTCGAGGAAAAGTAGCCCCCGAAAAATAAATATTAATTTTTTCCCTGCTCGAGGCAACAATATTATTGAGATGAACTTCTCCAGAGGCCAGTGCATAATGAAAACGATCCTGCTTTGTTTCCGCATCTTTTATCTGCCGGTATCAAGTGCGGCAGAGCACTTTTGGAGTAAATTAGTCTTGTACCATGACTACGCAATAGGAAGATATGTACAGTATCTCTGCAACTCATTCTAAACACTTTACATAAACCTTGAAGTTTTCCTCTAGATTTGAGTGAGAAATCAATATAATTTTGTCATCTGCATAATGTGAAATTTTGTGATTTACATCCACTGAAGAATGATCACAGAAAAGTGATCCCATGACACGTCTAACCAGAAATATTATCTGTTTAGATATGAATGATAACTAATTTTAATAATCGATTTATTCTTTAATCTTTATGTTACTTTATCCAGTGAAAGTATGCAAACATGAGATCTAAATTATTTATGTCAACTTAAAATAGGACCTTTAAAGGGAGGCTTTACTACTGCAGCTAGAAGGGATTAGACCACCCAGAGAGCCATCGAGGTCACTGTGACAGGTGGCTATCTCATTAACTCGGCTCTCATTTAACATAAGAAAAGAGGATCATGGGGGACCAACAGGCACCGATTTGGGAAGTTTTCTATATAGAGGGAGCAAGTAGCTACAAGTAGGACAGTGTGCCTTTAAAATACTCAATTAATGTTACATTTCTATTTATTTCCTCCCCTTCCTCTAAGTGCTCAGATAATATGTATAACATGCAAATTAGAAATAAAAAAAATAGATACATTGTATATGTAGGCTTAAATGTATGGCTAAGTACAATCCCCAACCCTTCACTAAATAGGGACTCTAGCTCTTCCTTGTCACCTGTCTTTGCTCCAGTGATCTCAAGGCAGCAGACAGCAAGAAGCTGTGTGAATAATCACTTGGCTTGAGAAAGGTCACAGGAGTGGACCAAAGCTTGCCTACCTACTGTGTTAAGGTTGGTATACCGGTAAGCTTAAACGTTAAGTACAATCCCACTTACCTACATGTATATATCTTTCAAAAATTCAATGAAGTTATATATTTTTGTTATTTTCTCCTGATTTTGACTACCAGTACTGGTACCAGTAAAAGAAAGGCTGCTCACAGTGTCAACAAAAGCTGGGAATTTATGTGGTTGGTAGTTCATGGATATTATCAATAATAGTATCCTGTTTACTTCCCCTGGTACGTGTATCTTAATTCACATTTTGTGAAAAGCTACTGTAATTCAAATTGTAATCTTCTGTAGTAGCCAAAGTTAATAACCACAATGACTTCATGTGAAGTAGCACATATACATTTATCCAGTGTGTATTATTTGGTGTATTATTTTTGTGCATCACGCATTAAAGTTACATGTACATGTAATGGGTGATACTGTGTATGAAACTAGGATTTTGGCAAAATTTCAGGTTTCATATAATTACTAAATACTTTGTCACATTTTAACAGATGTCTTAACTTATAAAGCTACATGTATATGTATGGTAATGACCCACGTTATTAGACCCACGTTATTATGAAATCTGACAAAATATTCATACTAAAATATATTTTATATGATTTTAGTAGAATATATATGTTTAATAAAAGTAAGAATAAAAAGCAAAGGAAAGGTGAGAGAGAAAAAAAACATATGCCCTACAAAGAGAGAGAGAGAGAGAGAGAGAGAGAGAGAGAGAGAGAGAGAGAACGACCCCCCCCCCCCACTTCATGGCCAAACAATATACATGTATTATTCAAAATCATAACCTGCACTTACAAATTACCTCACATGTAGCTTAAAACCATCCCTTGCCAATTATTACAGGTGTAGTTAATTTTTCTCTGTAAAACTATTGAATACCAGTAATATTTCAACTCTCTAGATGGTTATTAGAACTTGCAGTTGCTTTGAGGCACATACATGTACACAACATTATGTTCCTAACTTCCTAGCCATCTTTGTATGAGTTGCTCTTTTGATGAATGCATTCAGGTGTGTCTTCCAGACCTCACCATACAACAGGTTGTCCTGCATGAGATCTCACAATACAATTACAATTTGTTTACCGTGAACTCAAACAGAATAAAATGTACAGCCAGATGTACAAAGAACGTGTACATGCATAGACATTTAGAGGCACCAAGGAGTTGTAAAATAACTCCTTGGAGGCACTGGAGACAAATCAGCCCGCTCAGTATTTGAAGCACGTCATTGATTTGCTTCTCGGATGAGATAAGAATCACTGTCGAAACTGGGTGACTCAAAGGGGAAATAAGACTTGAAAGACGGCATCCATCCCAATATGCCAACAAAAAGGCAAGGTCAATCCAGAATTTTTTTTGAAAAACACTACCTATTGTGCACGTTGAGCTACACTGTCACAGCTATAAATAGATGTAATGATTTTTTTATTGATTCAAATGAGACCGGCTACACAATACAGGCCTTTAATATGTCATGTACCGGTACTTATTTTTGTGACATTTTGGTTATCCATGTAATTTCACTGTTTTCTCATGAAATTTTACATGAAATTTGATATAGAAGCACTGAAAAAATACAGTCTTACAAAGCTTGACAAAGGCCTACATGTGTGTGTACATTGCACACATAAATGCATGCCTATGAATTTTTTCTCAATAGACGGCTCTACCAAAAAGGTATCACCCAACCCCAGAAAACAAAAAGAAGAAATAATGGTTACATCATGTTTTCTACACTTTCAAGAAGCTGCAATCAAAATTCTTTCAATGCAAAGATCAAAAGCTATTGGAGTAGAACATACTGTACACAAACAAGGCCCTCGCGTACACAGATAATGCGTGGCGCGAAATTGTGAAAAATCTGAATATTTCGGATTTTCAGGTCCTAGAAATCCCCAAAAACAGAATATTCTGAATTATTCGTAAGGGTTGGCAGGTATGGTATTGTGTGCTTAGCTTAGCGCAGCGGCCTAGTCTGTGTGTGTGTTGACCTCAAATCAAACTTTCATTGACTGGTGTATAAATTTCATTTTGAGACAAGAGAATTTATTTTACTTGAATATAAAGTAAAATACTTGCAGAAATTTGAGTAGACCTACTGCAATTTGTGTGAACATAAGAAATTGCAATATTTTGTTTTTAAAATAAGGAAAATAATTACAGCTTTAAAAAATCCAAACAACTAGGATCATTCTCATTTTGTTTTCTTCGTAACATTGGATAACAAATTTCACAAATTCCAACATAGACAGATAGAATAACATTGATAATTTAGATTATTTAGTGCAAGGGTAAATATGAAAATGGCCCGGAATATAATACCATGATAAAAATTCATCAAATTACTTGTAATACTTGTAAAAAAAAATAAAAAAATAATAAAAAAATAATAATTAAAAAAAATATATATATATAATTTTTTTTTTTTTTTTTTTTTTTTTGGGGGGGGGCGGGGGGGGGGGGGGGGTCAAATTTTCCCCTCGGGTTGCGCCACACGTTTTTAATTTCTTGGCGAGAGGCCTGCCTGTACACAAGAGCATAGTTTAAAACTTCTACATTTAAACCCCCACACTTTGATTTTGATTTTTGGTCACGTGATGCAGGGGTACCCCAACTCTGTGCATTGCTATTGGCTATGGATGTATAGCGAAACCTGTCTATAAAGACCACCCAAGGGAGACAAGAAAGTGGTCTCTATAGGCAGGAGGTCTTTTTGCACAGGTTCCTTTTGTACATGTTTCAATGATGTATGTGGTTCTTCTTTACATACATTGTTATTTGCTACATGTAGGTATATTCCGTGACTGGCTTGTTTATTCACAGTTAAAGAGGAAGTCTTCCCCAATAATTATCCGCTATTTACTCTGTAATACAATCGTAGACTCAAAGTGATATTAATAATAGGTAAAACATGCCCTGAAGCAAGCCCATTAATACTTGATATCAAAAAAACATTGTTTAGTAAAGTGTTTAGTTTCATATAACATTAGAAAGGGAACGGGTTTGCCTGGTTTCATGACTAGTTTCTGATTCCCTGTAATGAACTTCCTGCTGTATCAAGACAATTTCAAACATGATTCTAAAAGAAGGTACTATTATATAGACGGTTTAATTCTTCAATTGGTATTACTATTTGAACTAGTCAACTAGATACTAGTTTTAAAAGAAAAATTATTGCAAGGCTTTCAATAGCATTCATTACCTATTAAAATGAAATATCTTAAGGTGATTGGATAAAGGGGAATTGAGATTTAGTTATTTCTATTGCTAAACACTCTTCTTTTCAGATTTGAAGAGACAGTAATACATTACCATGCTAGCACCCATGGTCAGATGCAGCAGTTGGACGAAACTTGAAAGATCTCCAGGTCAGAGACTCACAAATCAAGACAAACTAAAAAAAAAACTGCAATGTTAAAATATGAACAAATTTGATTTTCTTTTTAATATGTGTATTAAATTTTATATTACACTCTTTGTTATTAAAGTGCCTAGTTACAAATTATTTCATTCACCTGCTACGAATAATTGTGTTTCAGTAGTCAGAATGTGAATTGCATACACATGTATTCTGTGTTGTTAGGTAGGAAAAGTCATAATGTTTCTCCTCCCTAGCACCAATTAATAAATGCAATTCATATTCTGACTGTTGAAATACTTTTATTTGTACCAGGTGAATGAAATAATTAGTAACATGAAACTTTAAAAAAACAAAGATTTATGCATCACATTTGATCACATTACGAGAATGGTCTATTGAAAGGAGAGAGGATATTTCTTCCCCCCCCCCCTCTTCACCGACTGGAATGACAAATACACATGAAGCAAGTCATAGCCTTACCTTTTAAGTTTCCAATATAGAGGAAATCTGGTTTGTAGGGTGCAGCACCATCATCTGTTTCTAGTATGAGATTATGAGCTATGTATGGAGCTCCTTGACGAAGCCTCAGTTGAAAAGGTCTAGAAAGAAGAAAAAAAAAGTGGGAAAATATTGCAGGGGTCTTGTTAATTATTTTTGAAGGAGGTAATTTGAATTTTATAGGAGGTACCATCACTGCGAGGGAGCGAAGCGACCAAGCCCGAGGGAGCGAAGCGACCGAGGGGGGGAGGGTGTGGGAGGGGGGTGTCCCCCCTCACACGGTAGGGACCTTTTGGGATTTTCCACTTGAAATCGTGCAATCTGGTGCATACCTAAGAAGAAAATTTGTAGTTATCTTTCCTACCTTGTATTACACATATATTGTAATAAACACACATATTGTTCATGTTTAATATTACATGAACAATCATAACTCATAAGAAAAGTTATTAAGTTGATAATTATTTATCACTTTGTACCATTACTTTGTAATTTTTAATTAAACTGAGATGATGCACCATACTCAATCTTTCTACATCATGATTTGTTGAATACATGTACAGTATTTAAATAATGGGCAGCAGAGGCTAGATTTTGATTTTTTTTTACTTGTGACTTTTATTTGGCTCCCCATATGAATTCTCATTTAATTATTTTTTTTTGACATGAAATTATTGAATACATTTAAGAATTTACTTCAGTTCCTGTTCATTTTATAATGTTATATCACTGTTTTCCTGACAAAGTGAAGAAACTTTATTCAACTGCGATCGGAAGTTAGTTTTGAATATTCGCGGAGCGCGAGCCTGCATATATCATGCGAGCTAGCTGCGGGGGTCCGCCGGGGACGGCCGTGGCCGGCCTAAACTCAGCCGAGTTCAAAACTCTGTTGCCGATTTGCGCATCTCAGAATCTAAAGTACGTTGTCTCTAGACATTGCACGCACGTGTATAGGCCCCGGTTTCCGTGATCTTCAAATATCAAATCGGCAACGGATAGTTTGGTTACAGCGAGCTAGCTTCAGTTTTGTTATGATCAGTGTGTATTCTCGCGTGCACATCGGGATCGCAATGGGGTAGGGACGGGCGGCGAATTTTTTTTCCGTACTCGAGAGAGCAAAAATCCCATGTGCGCATGCGCGTGGACTTATGATTTCTCTGCTACTTCCCATACGAAATGTACATGTATTCGCATGTACTGTGCACGATTCGCGTTCTACGAGTAAACGATGGCATAGTAGTCTTCAAACACAGACTCTGATTTGCCAGTTTGACAAATCAATATGCGTATGTGTCGCGATGTGCTTATTCAAGTCTGTGTAGTTGTATGATTCAGACCCAGTAGTGCATATGGAAATACATTGCAACTTGTATAGAATGGTATAGTAGTCTGCAAGCACAGACGCTAATCTGACAGTTTGACAACATACTAGTAGTGTGCTGAGAAGTACTTTATTCAAGTCGCCAACTTGTATAGAATGGTATAGTAGTCTGCAAGCACAGACGCTAATCTGACAGTTTGACAACATACTAGTAGTGTGCTGAGAAGTACTTTATTCAAGTCTGCGTAGATGTATGATTCAGACCCTACTGGTGCGTGCGTTAGAAATGCATCTCAATGTGTAGAGTGTAGTATAGTAGTCTGCAAGGACATAATAATATATTGTGTATTGATGAGTAGTGATTTTATGCAAGTTTGTGTAGTTTAATGATTCCAGACCCCATGGTAGGCCTATGTATTGTGCCACTGCTCTCTCACACTCTTTCTCTCTCTCTCTCTCTCTCCATATCTCTCTCTCTCTCTCTCTAGCCCTCCCTCCAGTATGCTCGCACTCTCTGTATTACTTTTATTTATAATCATTTTGTCAAACTGTCAGATTAGCGTCTGTGCTTGCAGACTACTATGCCACTCTGCAAGTTGAGATGCCTTTCCAATACACGCACCAGTAGGGTCTGAATCATAAAACTACACATATGTGAATATAAAGCACTACTCAAGACACTATGTTGTCAAACTGTCCGATTAGCGTCTGTGCTTGCAGACTACTATACCATGCTATTCAATTTGGGATGCATTTCTGTAAGCACTAAAATGTCTGAATCATACAACTACTCAGACTTGAATACTAGTACTATTGCTACGCACGATATATGCGTAATTGTTTTGTCAAACTGGCAAATCAGAGTCTGTGTTTGAAGACTACTATGCCATCGTTTACTCGTAGAACGCGAATCGTGCACAGTAGATGCGAATACATGTACATTTCGTATGGGAAGTAGCAGAGAAATCACAAGTCCACGCGCATGCGCACATGGGGTATTTGCCCTCTCGAGTACGGAAAAAAAATTCGCGGACGGGCGGGCTTGGCCGCCGCGCTGTGGGGGGAGAACTGCGATGTAACGTTAGATAGATAGGTCTAGGTAAGTACAGACGACGTCGCGTTCGTGATCGTAAGGGATTTCGTCGACTGCGGCCGTGTATGTGCGGCACTAATTATATCTTGGACGAAATTAAGGAAATTTTGGATTAGCATTGATTTAGATCTACTTTCTGTGATTTTTGCAAGGTTTATTATAGGAATTATAGCCGGTAAGAAACGAGTGAATAGGCGGCAAGTTTTACCGGTTACCGGCTTTAAACGACAGCCCTGTATTGGCATTGAGCATCTATAGAGATGAGATGTCATATATATTGTATGCAACAGTTGCAATTATACAACACCTATGTGGATCCCTGTCATTTGATTGGAGGATTGTTGGTCACATGATATTCAATAGATGGTATATTGCACGGTCGTGCATTTTTGGTTATATGCGCCGTGCATTTTTGGTTATATGCAGACTGCGTACCTCTCTGCCGTGCGCGCGCGTATCCCTGCGTGTATCTAACGCGAAGGCAATCTGAATGTATTCGAGAAGGCTTGAATGCAACTTGAATTTATCTTTAATATAAGGAGTAAAGCATAATTTGTTGATTAACGTTCTATTAGATCTTCTTCGATGTTGTATAAAACAAATAATGAATGTTTTTCATTCGTTCAATGGTGCGAATATTTTCATTCGTTGAAAGATTAACATTAATATTCTATTCGACTCGGCTGACGCCTCGTTGAATAGAATGTTAATCTTTCAACTCATGAAAATATTCGCACTATTGAACTCATAACCATTCATTATTTGTATACTATGTACATGTAAGTAATCTATCAATAGAAAATATATTTCTTGACAAGGAGTATCAAAGAAAAGAACAGAAATCATATTTTTATAAAGACTTTATTATATATTTTGTATTGTAACACAATTTGCACAACGAGACAGGCATCATATCAAAGAACAAAACCCACATTCTACCACAGAAAGAAAAAAAATTCACACTTAGAACATAGATTGTAAGGAAAAGTGTAATGGTTCTGTTTACTGTTATTTTATAACACAATAAATTAAATTTTATCTTTGAAGTTTGAATTTTTTGAAATACTTGGAAACAACGAAAAATTGCACACCTCTACAATAGGCACACACTGTAAGTTCACTTCTGCAGGCAATGTCGAAACCAAAAGTACTTTTTATACAGTAGGTTAATCCTATACAGCAATTAATGTTGAAGGTCAAGTGTAAGCAAGTAGAAAGTATGAAATTCATAGGAGAGTATAATTGCAATATGATTATAAAATGTACCAGTAGGCCACTCTATAAATGCAATTTTTTTTCAAACTTCACAATCACCATCTAGAGATGATAAGGAAGAAAGAGAGGGGGGGGGGGGGGGGGGGGGACTTGGATTCTCTATCAATAGCTGCATCTACACTGCAACCAAAAATCATTGATTTTTCTTACATTTAAGTGCTTCGCCAGTAGTTGCATAACAACTATAGCAACTACAAGCAAACAACAAAAAATTAAAATTAAAAAAATGAACCTCTGAAATGTGGTTATTTGAAACGCCTGCCAAAGTTTCGATGATTTAAGCAGTGTAAATGTTGACAAGTTGTGCATGCGCACTTCTAAAAGAAAAATTGGTACGGACAAACTTGGACGATTTATAAATAAAATTTTCCAGTAGTGTAATTGATAGTCTGACTATTTTACGAAATTATGTTTGGGATGTGTAAATGGGCAAACAGATCGAGGAAACGAGGTGATCTGATAATGTTGTTGTTGTCATTGTTTATTTTTCAAACTACTTCACTCACTACCTAGAAGGAAAACACTTCGTTCAGCTGCTAAAATTGTGCAGATCTTCATCCCCATGAACTTTATCAAAGATATCTTACAAATTCAGATGGCTTAAAAAACAAATACCGTATTAACCTTAGTATTTAAAACATTTATAACAATAAATTCTACATTAAAAATTAATGCTCTACATGTTACATACCGGTAGTCAGATGGTTCATAAATGATACTAAAACATTATGTAAGCATATACATTCAAGATAGCTCCAATGTGCATGTATTTACAAGCTACTTGAGGGCGCGTTCATGCTTGATTTTGACGGCCAGAATCAGGCATCTGTTACGCGTTTAGTTTAAAACACGGTTGCGTCTTAGCTCACTTTTGTAGAATCACCGAAAAACGGCGATCACGATCGCCGATCGTAAACTCACAAAAAGATGCGTTTACAATTTGTAAACGCGTTTAAATGGGGTCAACGCACTGACCTCTAGTGGGTCTACGTAGCATGCACAGTGAAGGTTTGCGAATCCAGCTGGAAGACCAATTAAGGCCACACACTGAGAATTGCCTGGGGGAGCCAGAGAAGTAAGCATGAACACTACATCGTGGAACTGCGATCACGATGAGCGTTTCAGATCGCTCATTCTGCCTTCAAAATTTCAGCATGAACGCAGCCTTGGAGAACCGTGAGAAAATGTGTTTCGTCATTCTAGTGACACCAAATCTAAACTTGGACGAGGAAGTGTGGTTGCAGTGAGTGAGAGGTAATCAATGCTAACTACATATTTGCATGCATGAGCAGAGAGCTGAGGCACAAATTCATGCTTAATTTAATCCTTTATCACATCACAAACCTACAAACATAGACGTACATGTACGTATATCGTAAAAGGGATACACGGCCAAGCAAATAGTGCAGCAC